AAGTTGGAAGGGAGCTGTTTTTTTTTCTTGCGTAGTTCAATTAAGACACTGATCTGTTGCTCAATAAACACATCCTGAGTTCAGTTAAACTGACAAACACACCCGATTAATGGCCATTTTATTTAATTTATGAGGTTTATAGAAAGGATAATAAAGAGAGCAAACCGGTTGCAATAAAACCAGCTCAGGAACCACAAAGGAAAGAAGAAATACACGGCTTGAGTAAATACCTCATTTTAGTCAGGTGTGGTGATTGAATAGATTGAAAGACATTCGAAAAGCAATACGTGCTTAGAACATTTTAAACAGTTGTGATGTGAGGAAATTACGATCATTAACGAGTCAATTTGTTCAACAAATTGATTCATATTTAAACACAGGTAGTTAAAATTTCTCGAGCCAACAAAATGAATATAAAAGACATTTTCAAATGGGCAATATCGTTAAACTTATTTCCTTTGTGGTCACAGTCCGATCCGATTAATGGAGAGCTTAAGCCTCATGTATACGGCGAACGGCAAACGGCAGATTCAAGTTGAGAATTTCTCAAAATATGAATAGAAAATGAGCAGATAAAAACAGCTCAAAACAACTCTTGCGTGAAACTACTTAGAGGAAACTTGGTCTCTTGGCACAAATTCGGGGTTGTAGTTTGACGTAAACGTGATGCTTAACTTCTCCATTAATGACCATAAATTAAAATGACAGTTCTAAAACTCAGTAGTATTCAGTAGTCATATGTCCAATTGACTTCGCGGATTTAATCCCCCGCGGCGGGTATGTGCCGCCCAACGGGGTCGTGATTTTGAAGCTCCTGATTTAGAACGGGGTATCCATTTCAGAGGCGTTTTCTAGAGCGGGAATAATAATATTTCAAACGCACGAAAGCTCCAGTTTTGTAAGCAGCCATTTGAAATTATTCAAGGACCTATTGCTTTTAAAAATAACGTCCAATGCGTTAATAAGCAAACTGTTGTACTCTTGTTTGCACCCTGTGTTTTAGCGTGCAGGGCGGGGTGCCAATTTCCCGTCCCGGGCGGCACATACCCACCCAAAAAATACCCAAGTGCCCCCGGGATTTAATCACTTGAAATAATTACACCAGATAAAACTCTGCAAACTGAAAAGTCAGGAGAGGGCTTTGAATTCAGCCTCAGGGGAAATACGGGGTTGAATGACTGAAACGATTGAATGCTGCAGTAGGCATGCAGTGACTAGGATGAACATTTTGTATAAAGAATACTAATAAACATGAAATTTTATATTGATAGTCCTCCTAATTTGCAAATAAATGAAAAACCATCCTTAACGAACAAAAAAAACCGTTGACCGGTCAGAAGTTATTCTGCTATTCCGTTGATAAACTTATAGACAAGGACATGCAGATTTAGAAAGTTACGGAGTGCTTGCAGATGGTGCTAGCCAAATACAGTAGATAGTTCCTCAGCCTTAACTGCGCGGCCCTCGATTAAACATGCAACACGGCGATTAAGCTTGTCTAAGTATAGTCTGCAGTGCAGGCGTTTTCTTCGGGCGTGCGAACGTTTTTGCTAGTGGAAGCGCAAGTATCAACCCCCTCTATACTACTGTTGTCCGCCGCAACCGAAAAACTGTCAACTGCATTAATCTTTGGTGGGTACCTATTAGCATCATTTTCAGTCTTGGAAACATTTAGCATAGACCGAAACCAACATATGAATCTATCTAGATCCGATGAAAGACTAGACTCAACTTCGGTTACAGATTTACAGCGAAAAAATTACACCTGAAGCCCGAAAAAGGTACCCTACCGGCTCAGGCACAGCCTCCCCTTATAGGGAGTACCCCCCCGGAGTGAACACCTGATTTTGTCAGGTGTGGTCGTATCCATAAATCGATTGAAAGACATTTGAAAACCAATACATGCTTAGGGCAAATTTTAAACACTGTCAGGTGTGATTAGGGGAAATACGCTCATTAACAATTCAATTTTTTCAGTTAAACTCAGGTTTTCAAAATTTATCAAGCGAAAAAGTAAAAATAAATAAAGCCGATTTCAAAATGGGTATAATTAAACCGTTTTTGTGCAAAAGGTTAGTAACACCTTGCCCTTTAATTATTGATAACTTTTTGGAGCGAACGGTAGATGAAAGGCGCTCGTGCCAAAAAACACACAGTTTTTTCTTTTGTTTTGTTTTTTTTTTTTTTTCAAAACACAAGATGTGAGTTAAACCGTAGGGTAGGAGTCTTGTTAGTCTATCAGCACTTTTAATAATCATCCCCCGTCCTCCTGCCCTCTTTTAACACTTGGGTTGTGACTGGTTGATTAATTTACTTCGGCAAAAAACAGAAGATCAGAATTGATTGAAATTTTCAATTTTGAATTCTCTTTTTGAATTCACGCAATCGTCAATGACCCAAGACTGTGAGAAAGGTTTTCCTATGAATAATTAGTCAAAAAGAAAATTGACATCGCTTTTACATTTTTAATTTAAATTAAAAGGTAAATGTTGAGTGACCAACGAACTCTTTATAGATTTTTTGAAACAATTTTAAATTCATAATATTTCTGATAAAGTATGGTTTATGACCAGTTATATTTGGTGTTTTTATGTCTTTACTGTAGTCTCGATAACCTACAGTCCGCCACAGCAACGAAAATGGATAGCATGTTTCAAGCCTTCTTCACCTGTCTCCGTGTCGTGTCGCGCGTTTATTCGCGAGGTGTTTTTTTTTTTTGGCTTTTATTCTTTTTGTCTATCTGAAAGCTGGAAACCAGATAGAGTGTGTATAATAAGGTAAAATTTGAATCTTAAGACACTCGTCTCTGGCTGATGTGTAATAAAAAAAACATGATTAATGACTAGAGATTAAAAAATTACAAGAAATGAGGAGGAGAAGAACGACTTTGAGGATCGAAGACCATTCGATCTTTTTGAATTTATTTAAAACGCAACGCCGATTAAAATGAACTGCAGAGGAATCACTATTTGATCTTGGGGCGGAAAGTGTAATTGTATCACGTTTTTTGCTTGAAATTTGGAGCTGTTTTCGAAGTCAGTTTGTCTCCTAGTTGGCGATTTTCTGCTATCTTATAAAATACGCTTGGGCTATACATGCCGTCAGTTTTCGAAGTCAGGAAAGACGTGTATTCACAATGAACACTCCGAACTTACTCTTTACTAACATTATTAGAGAATAGTTTTCATTTGCGAGTGTTCCATAATCACTCTTTTTTGATGTATTCAGTTACCAGCAGATTTTTGCACCTTGCGCCTGTACGACGGTCGAACTGAGTTCATGAGTCTTTTAAGACCTTGTCGGTAATTGCTACTAAAAACGAAGCAGATAATCGGATTGATAGCACAGTACCCGACAGCCATATAGTCCATGACATCATAATACAGCCCAAAGCCACAAGATAACTGCATGGACCTCGGCCAGGCCAGCGTTGGATACCCTATGATTAAAATGTTAGTAGAATAAGGTAACCAGCAAAACACAAACACTAATACGATGGCGATAAACATGTGAAGGACGTTTCTGTTTCGCTTGTTCCTCTGTTGCTGTATGTTCGCGGACTGTTCACCTGGATGTGCCTGTGTCTTGAGCTTGATGAGGATGATGAAGTAAAGAAGGACCAACACCATCACAGGGGTGTATGTAAACAGAATGGACGCTGCTAATATGTGATCGGAGGGGGACGAGGACTCTCCGAATGCTTTCGTCCATCTCATCTCGCACAACATTTCCCCTGAGTATTCAACGAGTTGGTAGGTGAACAAATGTGGCGAAATGAAAGCCGCTGCGACTATCCACGTGGCGGAAATGAAGAACGGACACAGCTTGGATCTGATGAATGGGGAACGGAGTGGAAATACGACTGCTCCAAAACGATCCACCGCTATCAGAACCAGATTCTGAACCGAAACTATCATGGGAACGTCACCAAAGAAAGGAACAAGCTTACACAAGGTCTGGCCAAACTGACCACCGATAAGCCACGACTTTGTGTACATCAATGATAGGCGCCAAGGTAGCCATAATATTGAATACAGCAGATCGGACATAGCCATGTTTGCGACGAAATAATTTATCGGTTTTCTTAATGTTGGCGTCTTATAAACGATCAATACAATGAAAGAATTTGCCGTCAGCGAACCAGCAAGGATCAGACTCAAAGCAATGATCTGTCCTATTTTCTCGCTGTTGCATTAAAGCAGCTTGAATACTCGATCGATCCGTTCCCTATTGTTGAGTTCATGTTAGCTGACCTCTTCACAGCACCGCACACAGCGTTCAGTTAAGACGCTGTTTTAATATCAATATCTTAATATTGCAAATGCTACCTGATTAAGAACTTTAATTTATTAAAATTTCATGCCTCCTGCGAAGTTTTGGCACAGCAGACGTCAATAAATACCGATAAATTATTGAGCTCACGTTGTGAATCGAACTTTGCAGAATCAGTTTTGAATTCATGTTGTTATTACTGATAAGCCTAAACAACGCTTCTCAGATCCGAACAGGTGATGGACCCGTAAAGACAAATCAGCAAATATCCACAGTCACAGCTGGAAATGGGCGCCTTAAAATTAAGGAAGTTCTTTACCAAAGAGAGTCCAAATGTGATTTTTCATGATCAGATATAAATACAATTTAATTTTTACTTACTCTTACTGAGAGTGAAAGCGAAGTCCATCAGTTCTCCATACTCGTAGCCAGCTATAGAAAAGCAAAAAGTAGTCAATAAAATGCATATTGCGTAAATTATTTATTTTGTAACAGTCATCTATTTGTCCGATGTAAGATCAGAAGTATGTGCAATCGATTGGTTTTCCTGTTATCCGGGGTATTCACTCCTGTGTAATGACGTCACGTAAAACGCATGTGGATGAGATCAAGATATATGCTTCGAGTAAATTTTGGAAGTCTTTTGGACATTATTGTCGATGACAGGCTTTCCTGGTCACATCACCTTATAGATGTAAAAATGAATTTTGTTTACAAACTGAACTCCCTGAAATGGAGTTCGTTCTTGAGAAGAAACGCCCTATTGGACTTATACTTCAAGATAATATTATATTAATTTACCATCAGTTCTATATGGACTGGTCACTTGGGGCGGCTGCCTTATTGCGGACCTTCAACATTCTCTGGAAGTACCTCACCTTAGGGCAGCCAGAAAAATATACAACTTGCCCCGAGATATGCCTACTGAGAAAGTATACCGACATTCGAACTGGAATACTTAACGCTCTATTATAAACTTCGATTAATTAAACCACTCCATAGCGGCTCTTTCATACTTGACAAATATGCCTTGCACTCATACAACTTCAGAAGGAGTAATAACAAAATTGTCCAGCCTTTTAACTTGCAGTTTGTTGAAAACTCTATTAGCTATAGAGGCGCTATTCTTTGGAACGCTGTCTCGGCTCATTTTACAGACCAGTTTACTGTATTTTATGCAAAATGAAGAAGGACTCTCATTTTAGGGAACTTGATTTTAGCCCATAGTCGGTCCAGTCGCTTGCCAGGCACTACCAGGATTTTAAATGTTTTTAACTATTTTATGTTTTAAATGCTGTAGTCAATTTACTTAGAGGTAACTAATTTAAATTCATTTCAACATTGTATTTTTTTTAGAATCTTACTGTACATTTATAGAGTTTTTATTGTAGTTGTAATTAATGTTATTCTTACTTTTTAATATAAATTTATTCATTTGTAATTATTTTTACACGACCCCACAAGGTTTGAGCTTTACCCCCCATATCGTGTTTCAATAATAAAGGATATGTATGTAAAGAAATCTAAAACTATAGCAAGCTTTCCGCTACTAGTGGGCTATAACAAATACCCTAGTAGTACCTCAACCAATCAGAACGCAGCATTGATAATAGACCACTAGTTGGGTGTTACTAAATAAATATATTTTACTTTTGAAAAGGCTTCCCCTCCCTAATTCCCAGGGGTCATTTTCATTTTCTTCACTTTATGTATTTTCAAACTGTACTCTCCGTATTGTCTTAGAGCTCTGACGCGAGCACTTACTTTCAAATTGACATTCCCAGTTCATTGTAACCTTATTCAAACTAGAGAGAGCTTTTGAGGTTCCCCTCGCTAAAGAGGTGAATAACTTCAAAACCATAAGCTACGAGCACCAAGCGACTTTTGCTAAAAATTATCTGGGACATTTTCAAGTCATCTTGTCGTGTACTTTACCATTGACGTTATTATAGCAACTGAGTTTTGACAGCCATGTTTTTCATAATTAGCTACTTTCCTAGGATATATTTCTATTCTCTGAGGCGCTCCCCTCCAAGGTCGCAAGAAGCAACAAAAAGCCTGGTCTGAATAGGGTTAAGGAAAATTCAAATGAAATCAAAGTTTAGTGAGTATTCTTAAATCTGATTTACACGACTAAGATTTTAGCTCAAATTTTTATGGGAAAAAATGCTATAGAAAACCTGCTATCATTGGAACAATTCGCCACAACTCGGGTAAACAGGAATTTGCGAATGAGTTAATTAAGGAAATATAAAATTTTATCGAGATAGGAAGTTATAAAACAAAGGCAAATACTGGACACTTCCACATCAACTTCAAGTTTCTTTTGATAGCTTCTAGAGCCATTTATATCACTAAGCTCAGGTTTCTAGCGAGCGGCACCGAACATTTTTGCGTTGTTTTGATTCATTTCTTATACAAAGAAAGATCCAGTAGAGAATAGATAGCAGAATAAACAACAGTTTTAAGACGTTTTACTAACACAACCAAAGAAAGAAGAAGTTTAGAAGAAGTTTAAGACGTTTTAATATCACGACCAAAAAGAACAAGCAACTGAACGATACCGCATAAGAAATACTCCAAAAGAGCTACAGGATACTGTATATCTTATCAGTTACTGACTTTTTGTTATATCAACATTTAATTCATAATGCATGACAATTGAATAATTAAATGGAAGACATATCTTAACAATCCGTGACATCCGATTGAAGAAGTCTACTGGAGAATTGTGAACAACGCGTAGAAAACTACAAATTCAAACACGAAAAACAAAAAAGAACTCTTTTGAAACTTTACTAAGAACACCATGTGCAAACAGTTACAAAAATTAACCTCCTTAATATCATAGGTGACGAATTACTCCTTAATTTTGGCGCGAAATTTCAGCGTTAATTTGTAATTTCACATGTGAAATTACAAAATTGCCATGGCAACCTTCCGTACGTCTCAGTGTCAAGATGGCGACGAAGTTTTAAAATGCCGTGAATGAAGATGTCAGGGCACAAAAAGACGATTTAGAAAACCTGAACACACAAGAGAACATCAAGAAGTATTCTAACAGGTATTTTGTCGAAATAGTCTGAAAAATTCTGAACTTTATAAGCCAAATTTAAGGTCTAAATATTAAACATACGATCCAGGATAAACATGTCAAAAATCCAAGATTGCTAACGTAATTCGTGACCCATGATATTAATAGGTAATCAAATGGTATGCTCGCCTAAAGGCTCGGGAAATTATTAGGATTTGGACAAAACGCGCGTGAAATTATTCCCTAATTTCACTCGTCAACATTTGATTACACATACTTATTGACAAAAAAAGTAACAAAATAATGCAATGGTTTTTAGTCACATACGAGAATGTTGGACCAGAGATACTGGCCTCAGGGTATCTATAGCGCAAACAAGTCTTTTTATTCAAAAGTAAATTAGGTAATTGTATTATTATAATGATAATTTGCTGTGAAAAATGTGTTTTCACTGAAAGTGCCTCGCAAACTCTGATTTACGTAGTTCACTCATTCAACAAAAATTGTGTGTTAGAAATAAAAACTTGAAAAAGAATGACCAGATCTCACTGTCTTGTGAGGCGTCTTACTATTCACTGCGTTAGGAAGTCAGACTATGTGTCAAGAGGTCGCTTTTAATTTGGGAGGTTTTAAACAATGAAAAATGCTCAAGAAACCTGGAGACAGCCCCTAAAGAGATCAATTAATTTTAGTCTTTCCGGTACAGGGGCCCGTTTCTCGAAAGTCCCGTTAACCCGGGCCCGAAATCAAATATTCAAATCGAAATATAAAGAATAAGAGCGCGGGTCCTGGCTAGCAAACTACTGCATTTTGTTTCATTAACTGACAGTTTTGTCGTGTTAGATGCAAAACTATTGAAACCTCGATCTTTAATGTAAACGGAGACAGCTTACCGGGCCCGTTAATTATCGGGACTTTCGAGAAACGGGCCCCTTGCCGGGAAAAATTCAACTGGTACTTTGGATACTAATTAGGTGGTTACTCATGAAGCTTCGACAAGAGCATTCTCCCTTGGCTTCGACTGTATTCTCATTCCTAATTTAAGAATTCGTCATCTAAACAGATGGGTTAATTCATTTTTGGAAGTGGCGAGGTTTCTTTAGACGCAGAAACGTAGAGTAATTAAAGACAGCATTTTAAGCTGACATTGTCATGGAGACTACAGTACTGTATTCTACTTTGTGCACGCCTGGAAAAGCTACTAACACGCTAATACCACTCTACATGATCCCTAATTCATTCATTGCCCATTACCGCATACTATCCTATGCTTCTCTAACTAACAATTACTGTTTTCGGTGCGCCGAGTGCAATCATGTTCCGACAGTTTCTTGCTGCCAACATCTCGCTGAAATGGCATCGGTTGATAGTTCCATGTACTCCTTTGCAATTTTATTACTGCGTAAAGCTACTTAAAGAACCAGGGTCTACGTATTAAACAGAATGATTCAAATGATACACTGTACATCTGAGCGTACCTTGTCTTCGCTGGTTTCTTTCGCATCCGAAAAGAACTGGGTTAGGCGTAAAAAAAAAAAATAGAAAAAAAGAAAGAAAACAATGACTAATTAACACGGTCCAATAAATGACCACTTTATTTCAAACACCTCACAATGGAATCTTTAGTCCCTCACATTTATTTATGTTTCTAAGCTAAGGAAGCGATTTGTTTACGAGTACAGCATAGACTCAATGAGTAATATTGCGTGACCTGGGCTTAACAGGTATCGGAATCGATTCTATAAGCGCCAAAGAAGGTGTGATGGCTTGTCAGCCAGATACGACTGTCAGACACGGTCTTCAAGCCGATGCGATCACCCACATTTAGCTTCACAACTTGTCCGGTATATTCGGTACCATAATCGGCTCGGTTGTCGATGCCTG